GCGTCATCGGCTCTGCGGATCGAGTGAGCTACCTCTAAATAAAACAAGAAACTAAACTGCTATTAATATGCTCGCTCGAATAATCTCCTTGTCGTATCTAGTCTCTCTACACACGACATTAGGGCGGGGGCGCACGTAAGCCCGCCGAAAGGCGGTGAATTTGATTCTGAACATATCTGTTTAAGCCCGCGTCCGAGTTTGCACGTCACTATCTGCCGTGAATCGGTTGTTGTGCTCCTAGCTTTAAAGTGATTTTCTTGGTTAGTCTTTTGTTTAAATGCGATATAAGTTTGCAGTAGACGCTAGGAAAAAAGTTATAGAGTACAATATGACTCTACATCATTTACAACCCTCATCATCATCATCATCATTTCAGCCATAGGACGTCCACTGCTGAACATAAGCCTCCCATAATGATTTCTATGTTGATTTACGACCCTAAAATTTGATAAATACTCGTAGGTAGGTACTTTTACAAACTAAAGTTACAAGTTTTTCATCAAATCTGATTACAAAAAAATAATGAGCTTTAAGAGTGATGGTAAACTTTAGTGCAACTTTTAATGTATTATTATTTAAGTACCTAAAGTTCGTATCAAATTATAAATTAATGTAATTAAGTAAACCTCAAAACAAAAATCTAAATTCAAGTTGTCTAATCACACTCATGTCCTAGACCGTAGGTACTTCGAATCTTATGTGCTTATAGGTACCTACTTCGAATGCGGATCTTATCTTTACCTAAAAAAAAACAAAACAAATCGAATCGGAGGGCAGAAGACGGAGACTTAGCCGATCCGAGCCACTCGAAAGAGTTGAACAAACGCCGTCAAGGAGCCTGCCAGTGCAGGGAATTAAAACTTTAGACTAACAGGAATTAAGCCGGCAAGGGAAGTCTTGGCATAGGGACAGCCGACAATGTACCTCTGTTGATACTGGGGTTTTCTTCCCCCGATTATCGATATTACTTGTTGTATTATGTTTTTAATTAGGAATAATGTTTGATGGTTTCAAAATGAAAATTGAGACTTCTTATTCGATTATTTTTAAAGCGACTCATGAGACCCTATCTCATTAGAAGACTAGGTACCTATAAGTCGAACTCTAAGAAGTAAAAAAAATATATTTTGAGTAAGTTTTTTTCAATAATATTAGGTAATAGCTTCTTTAATAAGTTATTACAAAGTTAAAGATCTGCAACAAAAGTAAAAGCTGTCTAAATCAACTTTTATGCAAAATTACTAATTATCTCATACTTTATTAGTGAAATTGAAAATTTTCAGCATTTTATACGTACCTACATCTTCTAAGAACCCAAATGCATTTTNTGCATTTCTAAACTCTTTCCATACAACTTAAGATCGGCTTAGCCCGTCTTCGCTCGTGTACTGTCTAATTGCTGTTTTATGTTGTGCACTCATGAACGCAACTTAACTCCAATTTACGTCAGAAGATTAGCTGAGAGGGGAAACAGTTTGGTACTTATTAGTTTAGGTTTGAAGATCAAAATTGTGGTAGCGATCGGAATAGATAGGTAGTTCTGATTGGTAGTTTTATATGAAAAAGTCTTTATAATCTAGGAGCTTTAAAAGTATCAAAAATATTGAATATACTCGTAGGTAGCCACGTCTTTGTTACTTTTTACCTCAAATTATAATGAGGCATGTTCTCGTCAATAAATCAGTAAGTACCTTACATGATGTCAACTCTGGAAACACACGGAATACAATCATTTTTCAATCCATTCTAAAACTAATTCCAATTTATTTAAATCACATTAAACATTATCATGACTCAGCGTTTATCTCAGTCGAGTGAATTTCCACAAAACGAACGCATCACGCCGATCCGCACAAAACTTTAATCCGTCAAATAAAAATGGAATAAAATAGCGAGGATTAACGAACAAACGACGCGCGTTTCGTAAATTCGCACACATGCGCAAGCGCAGGACTAACGCGATTTAATTTTATGCCGGATTTGCGATAAGAACAGAGATCTCTCGACGTGTGCACGCGCCGCCCGGTATGCGCTCAAGGCGAGAAGTTTGTACGGGGAAATTAATAAGCAAACCTGATAAGGCGAAGCGACCAGTGTTTAAACACTTGCCTCTAGGTAAATTCTAAAAAGGTGTTCTTACACCATCAATGGCCTGACTCCTACATAAAAATTCATTGTAATACAGGTAGATGTTATTTTTTATTCTATTTCTATATCGTGGTCGGTTAATAAATTGACGACATGTTAGGTATGCGGGGTTGCGAAATTATTTTTGTAAAATGTAATTTAAAGCACCATGAGATACTTTTCTTCATAATAACTACGAGTATACTAGTAGGTTAGTAATCAGATTTCAGAATCGTAACAAAACTCTAAAACAATGCTGAAATCTAGGTTCAAGAATAGATTTGAGCCTTAAATTGATTCAATTCTAATGGTTAGGCTAATCACAGGCTTGATCTGTACAAATTCTAGACCACCCTTGGACTTTGACAAATATTTCAAAGAAAATATACTATTCCAATAAATCCGAATTGATTCAACCATTCTCGAATTTAGCCCATAGCAAAACATAATGACATTTTTTTATTAAAATAACACAGACGAAAGATGCATTAGATCAACGTTGATTCTACTTGATTTCCATGAAGGAATTCATATTAATTTCATAATAAAATTAATGTAAAACGCAACCGGCTTCGAACGAGGACTGATTTATTCATCAACAACAGGGCGCCATTTATAATTTATCAGACGAGTTAACATAAATTATTGAGTTAACTATCCTATAATTTTGTAACCAAACTGAATGTAGGCGGCACTTTTTGTTTATGTGAAGCTTGAAGATCTCCCATGAAGATATCCACAATTCACTTAAATTCACCGATATAATAAAAGGACTTTGAATTGACAAGAAGAAGCATCGAATAGGCGGGCCATAGGGCACGTAAAACTGACAACAGTTCAGAAGAAAGTTCTCATATAGAGAGTGTATTAAGCTTCCATCAAGTGGACCTATCAGTCTACCTTTTTGAAATTCCCGGAAGCCACTGGATGCTGACGTCACAAACTCTATTTTTAAAGACTTTTATGGACTAACCTTTATCCTTGTTCTGCATTAAAAAAAGTCCTACAGTGGATGTCTATAGATTTTCAATAATGAAGATTAAAGTTTCAATTGCTAGTCTAACCGTTATAAGATCTCCAAACTATATTAATCGAAATACCTGGTCTAAACACACCAATATTAATATAACAGATAATTGGATAGTTCACCCTCAGGGGTACTAAACAAACTATAGTTTCGCAGTTTCATAACCGAGGGATTTAACTGACCAAAGGACGGGCGAGCCTGAGCCCCATAATCCGCGCTCCATGTTAAACCATAGGTGGTTACTGGCTAGGTGCTAACCCAAAGAACTTGCCCACGCAAACTATTGAAAGTTACTTAAACGATTACCGCTGGAATTTCAGGTGTTTTAATGTAAGCTGGCGGCCCCTGTAGGGATGCGATTGGTCGCAAGAACAACTGACTCCCTTTGCAAATATAACATTGTGTGTTGCTCCTGCTTGCAAGCAGATTTACATTTTAATTGAACTTGAAATAACTGTAAATGTAATATTTTTCTTGAATGAAATTGATTAAGTTATTCGCTTTCGACACTGCTAAAGATTTGCTTATCTTCGGTAATACTAATTACTTACTGAAATATTTTCTGGTTATTTTGTGGTCGCATCTTTGTGGCGCCTCACGCCGCTAATGCAACGCGACGCGACACACCCAGCGAGGGTATTATTAAGAGATTACTGTATGGCGAAATTTATAATTTCTCCGAACCGACTGTTTCGTTACCTGTATTTCGGTATTTCGGGATAGTATTATGTAAATTCAATAACAGTTGAGCCCAAAGATACCCTTTTGTTTTCAATTGGGAATCACTTTACGTTTTCAGGAATAACTATTGTTTAATTGGTTATAGCTTCTGCCATTAATATCTATTTCAGGCTAACTTTAAAGCTAATACATATGAAATTTCTGAAAATGTTATAATTTCTAATATCATTTGCTCATTACTTCATAAACAATGTTCTGATGTTGCGTAAAAAAATTACATCAAAATAAGGCACAATATTTCGTCTGACGGAGTAAATTTTTTGCCCTCTCAAAGGCTTGTGCCAAAGCAACTCAAAGTACAATAAAGCAGACGCACTTAGACGTTAAAAAAGTGCATTGAAGCAGCAAAAACTATTTAATATAGCGCTAAAGATTTCCAACAAAGAAAGTGCCTGAAAGTACCGACAAAGCGATTTTCTGCGCCCAAGACATGCAGCGGGGATTAATTATTACTTTAACATTTCTCTCCGTTTTTTGCCGCCGAGTCAAAAGCAATGTTCGGTCGCCTGAAAAGTTGCTAAATAATTAAAACGTCTTACGTTTCGACGTCTACCCCTTAAGTGGCGATTTTTCAGCGACGCCAAGTTTTTCCGTCCTATTTGAGTTCTTTGGCTTATGACGGCCGACGTTAAGTATTGTGAAACGTCGATTGCTGTCTTGAGAGGAATTGTGTTGCACCAAAATGACTTTGTATTAAAAAGTTTAAAGGAAGAAAACCTTAATAATAATAAATAATATGTGTGTAACCTGTGCTGGGCTGTGCTGTGTTACATATTCTTTAATGTCAGTTGGAGTAGACAACACGAGTAAATAATTGTTCTTCATATTTAAAGCTGAAAAAACTCACACTGCTACATGACAATGACTTAATAATTTGAATTTATTTTCAATTCAAAGAAAATTAAAATTAATTGCTAGAAAGAAAAGAAAATGGGTCAACATTTTCTTGTTAGTACATAAAGAAAATTCATTCCTTCTTTATAAACACGGAATTTCTCGTTACAGTGCCCGATATTTTGCATCTGAACTAATTTCTACTTTATTAAAATTAAGAAATAGGTCTGTATAATCAAATTTTCTGACTCGAACTTTTTCTTTGGCACAGGCAAGACGCTTCCAGTCCACTGCGTTGTGGAGGCAGTGTCGTCCGTTGAAGAAGGGGCTTGGCGTCGAAGAGCTGCGGTGGAGACTGACAGCTACGTCATCATACCATCAGCTACTGCCTTCCACGACCTGGTCCCTGCTGCCATGATGAGGCTCGGCTACCCTCAAGAGTTGGCCGCTGCTGCTAAAGGTAATTTATCTCAAAATTAATATAATTCATAGATGATACTGACTATTTTACTGCTTCATAGTATGGCGATTTCTAGCAAGCACTCAGCTAACTGGCATTAGGTCTCGGGTTTGATCCCGGTATGTTTGTGTATCATTAGTCTTGGTGCTTCATATTAGTAACAAGCTAAAAAAAGAAAAGTTTGGTTAAACCATTATCTGGTACCCATAGTAGCTTTGTTTTATTTTATGTGGTACAATATCCAAATATATTTTTATTGGATAGAGTCTGATCGATAGTTCCCTAAAGGACTTCGCCAAAATGATCAAACATCTTCTAGATTTACGATTTTATTTTGTCTAATATGTATTTTCATATTGTGTGTTTTATTATATCAATAAAGATATTTTATTCTTCACCAGGTTCAGTGGTCATCAACAACTGGAAGCCATTGCCTTTCGAAAGGATCTCCGACGGGCCTCTAGCCACAGTTGGAGAGGTGCTTGGTGAACTGACGACTGTTGCCACCCTTCGCATTCAGCTGCTAAGACCTAGACCTACCCCCCTCCAGGACATCAAGGACAAACTCCTGAGACTCCTGCTGGTCCAGAGCAGACCCCTCCTGATGTCTACTGGATGCCCGTTAGATGAGGTAATGTATTCGTCTATCCATATTTATGTTGCGCTAGCAGACTAGTCAAGCCTTAGGTCATTTTGACGCTGCATATTATGCTTTTGAGAATAACTTCTACACACACTTTTTGTGGGTAGGAAATTTATTAGAATTGTATTTTAATTGGTCTGGTCTTATTTTAGCGTAATGATTTTAGTAAGAACTAGCGGCCGCCCGCGACTTCGTACGCGTGGATCCTGTTTTACGCCCTTTTCCCGAATTTTCTTTGCTATAAACCTCACGGAGCCCGAGACCTTTCCAACGAATGCAAAACCGTGGAAATCGGTTCGTGCGTTCTGGAGTTATAGCGTCAGGGAGGAAAACCCGACTTATTTTTATACGTCATCAACATCAGTCGCAACAAAAAGAAGCTTTTATGGCTTATATGTAAAAACTAATATGTATCGCTAATAGATAACACGAAAATTAGACAAAGGATTAGCGAGGAATGGACATGGCGCACAATTTTTGTTGAAGATGCCAAAAAAAAACTACAAAAAATTAGAATGAATACTGTATTTTTATTTTTTTGATATCTTTAAAAATGACTGAAATATTCAAGCTCANGCGTAGTCTGGCTTTGATATTCAATTTTCAACTGTATTACCTTGACAATCAGTTCAAAATTGATTACTAGAAAATTATTTGACAGACGATTTCTACTCTCGACAAATGCATTTGAATTAGCCCACTGTGTACATATCCAAGGATATTTTTTATTGGATAGAGTTTGATCGGTAGTTCCGTAAAGGACTTCGCTTTTTATTTAATTAAAATACCAAAATTATCACACATCTTCTAGATTTACGATTCTATTTTGTCTAATATGTCTTGTCATATTGTGTGTTTTATTATATCAATAAAGATATTTTATTCTTCACCAGGTTCAGTGGTCATCAACAACTGGAAGCCTTTGCCCTTCGAAAGGATCTCCGACGGGCCTTTAGCCACAGTTGGAGAGGTGCTTGGTGAACTGACGACTGTTGCCACCCTTCGCATTCAGCTGCTAAGACCTAGACCTACCCCCCTCCAGGACATCAAGGACAAACTCCTGAGACTCCTGCTGGTCCAGAGCAGACCCCTCCTGATGTCTACTGGATGCCCGTTAGATGAGGTAATGTATTCGTCTATCCATATTTATGTTGCACTAGCAGACTAGTTAAGCCTTAGGTCATTTTGACGCTACATATGCTTTTGAGAATAACTTCTACACACACTTTTTGTGGGTAGGAAATTTATTAGAATTGTATTTAAATTGGTCTGGTCTTATTTTAGCGTAATGATTTTAGTAAGAATTAACACATGTCGTCATCAACATCAGTCGCAACAAAAAGAAGCTTTTATGGCTTATGTGTAAAAACTAATAGGTATGTATCGCTAATAGATAACACGAAAATTAGACAAAGGATTAGCGAGGAATTACTGAAAAACCTAATCAGATTAATTTGAACATAATTAAATCATCCATGCGCATGAATTACCAACTCGTTAACGGCATTAACAAATTAATAATGTAATGCGTATTCCATCCGATCGCGTATTGTCTAATTACTCTATTCAGCTCTAAATCTATTCCGAAAACACCTGTCAAACCGAATAACGAGGCATTAAAATCATCCGAACTCATTCACGTGGTTGACAAAACGCGTCCGCAAGAGCGCGCTAAACCGAAGCTCACAATGTTCCGTCGCGTTGTAATGTTCTTTAATGCTCTGTAACCCCTGCCCGGTGTACAATAAGGCTGTGGAATAAGGCCCTACTTCCATTGGGGGCGATGCGATTTCAGCGTACAAGTTGGCCGGCGGTGCTCCTAAAATGGTAATTAAACTGCTCAGATTTTATCAATCTTACGTCAGTTACGACATTGTAGAGTCATATTGACTGATGCGGAACAATACTTATCTAGCAATTAAGGAAAACTATGTATCCCTCTGCCTCCGCAGCTGTTCGCCTCCCATATGAAGCTTTTACTCTTACATATCTATGGTGTAACGTGTAGTTGAAAGGAAATTGTTTAAGCCTTCTCTACCGTCTGTTTATTCAGAAACTCTACGTTCTAAAGATCATTTTATGACATTGATAAGGGGCCAAATGATAAAAAGCTAACTAAGTAGCTAAGTTAATAAATTAATTTGTAGCCAAACTAAGCATAAAACTGTTTATTAACGGCGCAGGACCGGTCTTTGGGGAAATTCTTGGGGGAGGCAGTGGACGTCATTACCAAGACTTATGATTACTTTTAACAAGAATGTCATCATTTCTACCCGCTATAGCGTAGCTTGTCACTCGTCTACCTCATTGGACGGCCGGCCTAATACCCCGTAACCCCTGCCCACGTCACAATGAGCCTGTAGACTAAACCTTTACCCCTTATTATCAACGAACGCATTGTTTCCCATATTTAAACCCACCCTGGATGCGCGCTCTCAATTGAAATTTATTGCGTAGTTACAGCCGTTTCGGTTCTGATAGGTATTCCAAAGATTTATACGACGTTAAGTGCTTTTGCTCATGAAATTCTGTATGTTATTAAGATTTATTTTGCTTTGTTTTTTAGATTGTTGTTCTATAGAATGATTTACAGCATACGGATGAGCTTAAGCTAAGAATATGACGATTGTAAATGATCGGGTCTTAGTATTAATTATAAGTAGTGGACTTTAATCCTAAGAAATTGATTGAGTTTCGTACCTCAGACTAGAACCTTTCTGAATAAAAAATAAAATATTGTTCTGTGCTATAACACCATCTGAGGTAGCGTGGTGGGTTTTTACTGGGGGTAAAAGAATGTCTTTCAAGTTTCAGTTTTTAATTCAGTAGTTAATACTACGTAATGGATACTTAAATAATATAAAGTGTCGGTAATTAACTAATTAAATGGACAAAGCAAAATTAGGGCTCAAGCTGAATTTTCAAATAAAAAACAAAAAGACATTTTCCAGTGTAAGTAGAGTTTTATTGCAAAATCGCACCTATCACAACCAAATAAGAAAGCCAATTGTTTAGCTGAACATGCTGTCGGTACCAAAAACGTAATCAACCGCACGGCATTAGCTCTACATGTCGTCACATTCGCAACCTTTCCCCGGATTCGCGCAGATAACGGTGACGTCATCAACACGACAGCCATCAAGCGGCGGATCCGAAGAATGAGCGTGTATAGTCCGCTTTACAAAGAGCTGTATATTATAGTATAGGTTAGGGTACGAGCTAGGGTAATACTTGTTACATAATAAATTTAAGAGAGCATGACTTAAATAAATTGGAGTGGCCTGTATACGTAACTTAAGGTTCTCACTTAAAAATTGATTCGAGCTGCGTGTAGACTTGTTACTCGTACATAGCTTCGTAATCTTTTAGACTACTTAGGTATCTGATTATTTTTTATTAGAGTCGCACGTAAAAAAATGTCGATAACAAAGCTACTATACAGATTAATATAATTTTACGAATTTTCAAATAAAGCTCGATTGTTAGCTAACTCATCAAACTTTAGTATTTGTCGCTAAAAAGATACATAAATTATAATCATCATTTGTAACCTTGTAACATGATGTGCCGTTGACGGGTAGGTAAGCGACAGCTAATTTTTAAAAACAAAAAAAAAACATTTTTTCTCGTTTATTACGAATTCAGTAGGTCTTTACAGTTTGAAAAATATACAAAAGTTTACATGTTTTAGACGTGTCAAAAATATCAAACTGAGTGTACCAAACTCGTTGAGTACACTCTCACAATTCGGGACGTCGTTATAATTTGGGAGGTTACGCCTAAGTCCCTGCTAATAAGGATCATCGCGGGAAGAATTAAGGAAGCATTTGTTTTGATGTTGCGGATGTTCGCGACTCTACAAAAGGAGGTTTTAATGGAAATTTGAGAGCTTCATGCTTATAATCTTTTGAATTGAAAACGGCTGACAAACCGAGATGATGTTTTCACATAAATATAGAGAATTTCATCAGGAATAATCAGGTATTCATTGAGAGACTATTTCAACGTATATTAAAGGTTGTTAGTTGTCTGAAAAATGTTACAAAAATATAACGCGATAAATTTTCCTCGCATATCAGAACACCCAAGAAAGTACCTGCAAGCTCCACGAACGGAAATGTAAATTACATTTTACATAACTGTAAACTGCGCTAGAAATTATCTGGTTCGCTTTAGGCGTTCCTATTTTCATAAAATCTTTACCCACTTAAAGAGGTTTAAATCTCCATATCAGAAGATATATACAGTAATTTGTCGGCGCTGAGCACCTGTCTCACACGCGGGATCTCCATACATAATAAATTTAATTGAATCGCAACTCATCCTCGCGTAGCTTTATTATATTTTCAAAATATCCATCTCTGGAGGGCGGGGACACCCTCGTCTTACTCGAGCCTTGAAAGAGGGCTAAAAGGAGTTTTAGATGTACGAACGCTTTTGATCTTATTAATACCATAAAATAATGCTTTATAATCTTATTAAATGCGAGGTTAGCGCTCGATGCGCGCCCTCCAAAGCTTAACCGCCTGTCGGGTCGCGATTTCAATTTAGGCTCTCCATTGACACAGTTAAGGCCACGAACTATTTTAACGTCTCACTTTATTTCGAACGTTAAATCATAAAGTCGGAAATTCAGAATTTATTTTTCGAAGTTCGAAATGAGGCAAAGGAATACAGAGCAAGATAATCAAACAAGTTCAACTGCGAAGTTGGTAGCTAAACGGCAGATGAACTCGGCTTCTCGATATTATGGTAATTTATCGCACGCCAATTTGCGCCACTTCGATTCCAACTTTGAACAAACTTTGGACGCGCGCTTATAGAATACTTTGTAGAAGGGTTTTTAGAAAGACAACGAAGGATTAATTTTAACCCATAAATTCTCTAAAGACTTTTTTGGAATAAGACACAGTTTGGTAAATAACTCGTAGCGTCAAAGCGATATCAGATAAGACTAAGCCTATTGTGTTCTAAGTTGTCTTTTCTAATGCGCGTACATCAAGAAATGTTCGCAATACACACCAAATTACGTAGGTACTTAGGCGGATTACACGTGACACGAGTTATCACGCGCAGGCGCCTCGTAAATCTTCCTTGGAACTGAAACAGACAATATCTGAAAGCAAATATGGCCTCACTATTTAAAAATATAAAACAAAGAAGCAGATTAACGTATCACTCGCGCTTGAGTTAATTCCTCGCGACATGATTTATAGCCACAATCTCGATGTGTTACACTCACACTTAATTTAACATTTTGATTTAGCAACAGTCGAAACACACTCCTTGACAACTCGCTTGACGTCGTAATCGCTGGCATTGTTCTGTGTAATCTAGTGATACGGGCAGATCTTACTTGCATAATGTCAAGCTGGGTAAACTGGGAGGCGAAGCTATAATCCGACGAGTTCTTATAGAATGACTACTTGTTGCGCTATTAACAATCCAAACAAGATGTTATCAGAGCAAATACATAGTTGTGAAATTTAAACGTGTAATGGAATAATTTTCGAATCGAGCCGTTGATTAGTTGGTTAAACAGATCGGCGCAGGAGCGGCGTCTGTAATGGGTTAACACTGAACATTCTGGGAGCACTTTGTCCGCGCTGGCGCTAGTTGGATGCGCAGTGGGTGGACGCTAATTGGTTAAACGCCCTTCCCGCTCATTGTTTTAGAGCAGACCATGATTGAAGTTTCGGCGGCGCGGGAGCGCACTAACCGCCGAGCAAACACCTCCGTCAGAGCGGTGCGCATGACACATGCATTAACAGCCGACCTAATATTTTCATAATCTAATGGCGATGTTCTGTGAAACAATGCTCCGTGTTGATTCAAACAATTATCTCTGTATCTGTTACTGGTTAGAGTGACCTCCTTAAAACCGTCTAAATGCTGTTTGCGGTATCTTGTTTTTTATTTACATTAGTAACAGCACGACATGAGTTTAATTTCGTAATGTTTTCCGTTGTTACAGATGACATTGGCTCAAATTTGTAGAGGGCAGGATAGGACACCTGGACCTCATAATTTTCACGAGCCCTCGGAAGAGATGCGTCGCAAGTTCGAGTCTTGGTGGAGTGCGCAGGTGTCCCCACGGCCGCCCCCGTTCAGTCCTCGGCGATACCCTTCTCCTGGTCCCAAAAATCGTTCGCCGACACTGAATTCTATCCCAGATCACTTACACCCAGCACTACAAACAGTTCAAAGCCAATATCCTACACAGAAGACAAGAATGCGAACAAGTTTCGATCCAGAACTAGAATTGCCAAAGCTGCAACGATGGTTTTCCGAAAACCAGCACCCAAGCCGCCAACAGATTCAGCAATATGTCCGAGAATTGAATAATTTAGAATCGAGACGTGGCCGAAAGCCACTCGATGTTAACAATGTTGTGTACTGGTTTAAAAATGCACGCGCTGCTCAAAAACGTGCTGAACTTCGAAATATTGGAGGCTTGGGTTGCCACCTTGGAGTCAACGGTTTCAACAGTAGAAGCCACAGCCCTACTAATGGCTCTTTGATGACAGGCAACGACAGCTACGCCTCCCATGATCAGAACTCAATGAAAAGTCCCATGCAAATGTCAGGCAGCCCTGGAAGGTACCCAATGTCCGTGATGTCTGAGGATAATTTATCAAATGGAGGATCAGATCTTGAAGAAGATGTTGGCGACCTAAATCCTGATGATAGGCCGGAGAGTCCTGATGCACCTCTTTCTTTAATAACAACGAAGAAGAATAATGACGCTGATGACATGCCCCAAGAGTCACCCAAACCACCTGATATAATCAAGGTAAATGATTTCAACAAAAAACGTAAAAAACCTACACTGTCATTCACAGTGCAGATGTTGTTGTAATTTAATCTAGTCTCTTTAATTAATAAGTATTCTGTATTGTCGCAGGTACACGACATCAAGCAAGAGCCAAAGGATTTGAGTAAGCCTGAGCAGACTCACAACTCTCCACAACGATCTCCAGCAAAGAATAGTGATAGCTCCCACAATAACAATAATAACAATATAGAAGAAGAAAACGGGAACGTGGATGATCACGATGTGTCTGACGATGAAGTTGTGCAAGAGCGGCATTACAGACCTACGTCACCTCATCTGGACCGCTTACCGTTCCCTATGGTGCCAAATCATCCAATGTTTGGACATGGAATCATGTACATGAGCCAATACATGAGTGGGTTCCCTGGTGTTGGCGCGGTTCCGGGAGAAGGCGCTAGTGGCCTGAACCTGGCTCTGGCTGGAGCATCAGACGAGCGTCGTAAGCGCAACCGCACCTTCATCGACCCAGTCTCCGAAGTGCCAGTCCTGGAACAGTGGTTCTCGATGAACACACACCCTTCTCATAACCTGATACTCAAGTACACTGAGGAGCTTAACAGGATGCCGTACAGGCAAAAGTTTCCCCGACTCGAGTCAAAAAACGTGCAATTCTGGTTCAAGAATCGGAGGGCGAAGTGCAAGCGACTGAAGATGTCCCTGTATGAGCCTTCTTCTCCATCGCACTATTCCCACCCTGGGCACCCGCATATCACAGATCGCAAACTGGTGTGAAGTGTGCAATAAGTAGTGAAATTTCAGCCACGTCAGATAATTAAAACGAAAGACTGAATCCGAATCGTTTAATGGTGTACAGTGCCATGTTAGTATTAATATCAGGGCGGTGTCGTAATCATCACAGTTAAAGGAGTAAAGTATGAAATTGCTGTTTTTTTTTTCAATAATTACATTGTTCGTTATACGATAGCAATGTCCATTATTCTTTTTTTTATTTTAAATGACTTTTTTTCTAGAATCATAGTCAAATCATCAATATCTTTTTAGAAGTATGAATTTTCATTTTTTTTTTCTATTTGTATCCTGCAGCTTAAAGTCTCAATCTATCTACAAAATTTCATAAAATTCCGATTTGTAGTTCTCTAAATATTCGCAAAAATGTTTGTATGGAAAAATTAATTTTCGTTAAATTCTCCATACAAAACGGCAATTTCATACTTTAACACCGATATTAGAGCGGTATCGTATCACAGTTCGTATTATTCAATGAACTCTTTAGTACTTTAAGTACAGTCAAGTTTTTGCTTTAGGTAGGGACTCCAAAGCAGCTCTTTTAAGATTACATTTTAAATATTCGTGTTTATGTACATGTAAAAAACTTGTCACAATTGAGAATGAATCTCATATGTACTCCGTATGTAAATAATAAGGATTATGACTCAATTTTTATTTATTTAATAAATAATGTAGTTGTAAAATAACTGTTATTCCTTAGGTACGTAATTTTGAATGGATACTCAAATAAAGTTCCACTTAAATTATCCTTAGACGTAGTTCATTAGTTGAGGTTAATATTAGAATCGTATTCAATGTTATATTAAATTGTAAATTTTTTGTGTAATTAAGTCATATTATAGTGATAGTACTGATATTATTGCACATAATTAGAACATCAAAATTTCTAATAGATAATGGTTACTCGACCGATTTAGTTCGATTCATAATTGATAGATTGATTACGCACATTCCTTGTTTCGCTTTATGTTTAGTAATACTTCCTCAATCCAAAGATTGGTTAGTGTTATATAGTAATCATGTAAGATATGTATAACAGACCGCTCACAATATTATTTGTTAGGATACTGTCTTTACGAATGATCTTTGGATAAGTTGTTATTGTGTGAACACACGAAAATAGTGATATCATCGTACTATAGTCGATTATAGTCGTACTGTTGATTTGTTAAAAAGATATTTTTTTCTATTGATACTACACACAAGGAGTAAATCGCATTATTGATTTATGGTCGATATAAATTCGATATAGAGTCGATTTGTTTTAAAGATCTTTGAATCCGAATCACTTTGCAATTTCTTCGTGTGTGTCAGCTCAGTAAAAGTTCATCTGATAACTCGAATAAAAATAATCTTTTAGTTAATTTTAATCATTGGTTATAAATTTAATTGTTGCCAAAAGATATCTTTCTTTAAAATTGTAGAAAATCTGCTGGCAGAAAGTATTTGTGAAATGCCGTATCGCATCCTGCGACGTATTTCCAATTACCTATTATTAAATTGCAGTATTTAAGCATTTATTGTTTGATGGCTAGATCACTAGTTTTAACATACAATTGTTTTGTTATTCCATGTTATGCTTGTTTTGTGAAGCTGTGATGAAATTTCCAAATATTGTACATATTTTATTAAAGTTAATAGAGTATGGTAAAACTGTGTCACTATGCTCACACAACAGTTATTTACCGCTTAGGTAATTGACATATTGGCTAAATGTTTATTCGATTCAATTATATAAACTGAAATTAAATTGAAGTATATGAAATTATCTATATTTTATTTGACTCGCCCTAATATTTAACACCGTAACATTACATACACAACGCTGTGGAAAAATAAACACACACGATGCTCATTCTACTACCTACCTAACTTTCAGTAGTTGGGTTTAATTAGTTAACCTTTAAGACCAAGTAATTACCTACAGCGGTATCGAGTGGCGTGGAAGAGGAAACACAAAATACCTACATAAATGGAGAAGAACCTGTCCAAATAAGTAGTAAAGCATTACATTGCACTATAGAAAATATATTACCTGGTCACCAGGCGATTAATTAAACTGAATTAAATGAACATTAAATGTGAGATAGTGATTAATTATGCTTTGCCTGCACGTTCTTAAGCTACGGTTTCACATATCGCTGGAAAAAATCATATAGAGGGATCAAATTAAAGCATAGCCTAGTAACGCAAAAACTAATTTCACGACATGAAAGTTCGTAAAGAGATTACAAATAGTCAAAAGTATTTGGTTTCAGTAAGCACACACGATATTTCAAATATGATTGAATAAGTATCATCGAATTTTAGTTACCTAATAGTATAAGTACCTAAGTATGGATAGAAGAGGTTCCTTGAGATGAAAACATGACACGTTACTTAACCTGTTAAACGACAGCTTAGTTAAAGAGTACCTACCACATAACAGTCTAAGTTCGATAGCCAAGTTGCGCCAAAACTGAAGCTGAAGATCCGAAACTTAAAAGAGCCCAACTTGGAACTTGGCAAGATATCCACAGACTATCTCTAAACGATAACAGATAGTTTCGAGCTGTCAAACACTACATGTCAATAGGTATTGGGAGGCGGAAGCGGCCGGCGGCACCCGCATCACTGTCAGCCGTTGTCTTGGCTCCCGGACTATCTGCAGACGTCTTTGTTGACTTCGATCGGTTTTCGGCTGATTCGGAATGTGGGTGACTTGTGAATTTGGTATCGATTGCTCAATTGCCTAAAGCTTCAGCCTATAGAATCTTAAACATTAACAAGCTTGGCAACTTTACCACTCGCACGCAGATAAGTAGTTAACATAGGTACATGAGGGATCCCCATTTATATCATAGTCCCACTTAAATACCTATACTCCCACTTAAAAGAAGAAGACACAAATTCAAGTTAATTTCGCTTAATTTTTTTTAGGAAAATATTAGATTTTTCAGTCAAGCTAGAAAAACTATAGTAGGTACTATACTAAACATCATCATCATCATCAACAGCCCTTTACAGTCCACTGCTGGACTATGAGCCTCCTTCACTATAGTGGAGGGTTTTGCCATAATCTCCACGCTTGGCAGGCGGGTTGGAGAGCGCAGTTTAAAAGATTGATGTTTTTCAGAGAGCGCTGCTGCCCATTCTCTGTTTGATGTGTAGTCCCTAAGTCGCCTCTTACGACACCCGCGGGAAGAGTAGTGGTTGGTGACAAATGTATTCTACTCTGCCGTCACCACACGGCTTCTAAACAATATTATGTTAATTTGTAAATTGTAATAACCCCTATAGATATTAAAGCAGCAACATTTGTCGTGTGAGCGCCTATGCTCATGTTAACGGAGACGTAACTACTTATGCCCACACATAGTGTGTATGATATTTCATTTCAAACCCACTGTTTCAAATAATATTTTCTTGGGATATAAACATCATTATAAAAACAAAAGAATAGAGGCTCAATCTTAGTTCAATGATACTTTAAAACTGAAAGAGATCTGACGTTAATTATTTGAAGTAGCTCTAAGCATAACATACCTCCTCTAACAAACGTCTTGAGTGCACATCCCACGATACAGACTCGATGTGGAACGGATTATACCAATTAAAGGAGATTTTAACTTTGAAGAAGCATATTCTTTGATCTTACAACGCACTCACTCCATCCTTATCCGTTTTAAAGCATTTTAAAGCGCCTGCCTAATTATTAAGATGAGCGTCTGTGAGTTGCTGCTCTTAAAATTACGACAGGTGAATTAACTGTTTACATCGATAGAAGAACATAAATAGAGATAAAACAGTAAATAAATGTACCTAAACTGTACATAGGTATTTAGGTATACCTACTATTTCTTTACTCCTCAAATGTGCACGAATTTCATGAAACTGTTGAATATTATGTTATTACCTACATTAGTCGACGACCTCATAAACGTAGTAGGAAGGCGCTGGATGCAGGCCGTTACCAAACGATCATTATAAAAATCATTGAGGGAGGCCTATGTTCAGCAGTGGATGTCCTATGGCTGAAAGGATGATGATGATGATGATGACATTAATTAGTTGAACTATTATCACAGATAACACAATGGTTACAAAAGTTACAGTTAGGTAGTGTAGATAGTTGAGTAGGTACCTACTGTATTTTTGAGACGTTACTTATGTGATTCGTAGAGATGGGCCGACTAGTCGCCGACTAGTCGGGAAAGCCGACTATTCGGCATAATTTGTAGTCGGCCGACTAGTGACGACTATTCGGCAAAATATGCCGATTATGATCGGCGCATTACAAAATTAAATATGTGAATGAAATAAAACTCATAATCGCCAAGATGATTGTGAGGTAGACCAAGGGCGTTTAACTAAACCACTTGACTGCGAAAAATCAGTAAAAAGTAGTTTCACCTGATTTAAAATTTTGACTGTCTAAATTCATACAAAGTTAAGATTAGATAAAATTACCAGGAAATCATCAAAAATGTGTAAATTTTATGTAATTGGTCCATATAATAATTATGACACTTTTCACTTTTGNAAATAACTATATCTAATATCTAAACATAATATTAAGTGGTTTTACCGTGAAAAAGTAACAAACATATTACGACATAGGTAGGTACTACTTTCGCATATAATACGTAGACCTTTAGGAGAGTGACTCGGAGGTTCATGGTTCTGGGTTCAATTTCAGGATTAGACAAAACGTTTGAATTTGGACTGGGAATCGCTTTGTGTATTTATTTTCAGTTGAATAAGGAAACTGAAGCTGAACTGAACATGTTTGTCTGAAAAATATTTATTTTTCAGCTCAAGTAAGATTCCGTGTTTCAAAGAGCATGTTATAGCTATTTTCAGCCATGTATTGTTGGATGGATCATGGATCTGTTTGCAAATAATTAAGTAAACATTTTGAATCAAATGGTATTTTTCATTACAATTTAATAACATAGAAAATATAAGACTTTGTTTTTGTAAAATTTAAGTTAGACGTTGGTGGAACTACCTAATTAATAAACTGAAAAATAAATTAGTCAAAAAGGAAATAACCCGATAATTACCTTTCAATTGAGTCTGAATGACTCTTTTCAATAATACCTAAATCTTATCTAATCGATTTGTCAATAGTAAATGGCCTCGAATATTTACGGAAACAACACTAATTAGTTAATTTGTTTACAACTATCCTTGCAAACTCATATTACTTACTTAAGTACTAATCTAAAATACACTAATGTTAGGCGTCTTCTTATTCATTTTATAAACAAACAATAATAAACTGGTTTATTTATTATCATCACCATATTATTGGTTTTTAGCTTTCCTTATCCAATCTTATGGTGATTTTTCATAAGTTAGGTACATAATGAAAAATATTACGTCTACGTACCTTTACACCATGGTATAAACAGATTGATGTAGATTTCTATGGTTTAAGATACGAATGTTTTAACCACATTTTTTTTCAATCTNTATCATTGGTTGGACTACACCACGACTGCTACCGGTCACGTTGCTATTGGACACTGGCAACTGGTTGCTGAGATCTGTAATACGCATGCTGATCACGGAACCTAATCAGAGTAGCACATAAAAATACGTCGGGGATAATAATAATATGATCGCATCGAGCAAATGTTACATAATAAAAACCCATCTTAACAACCCCTAACATCAATTTAAAACGAAAAATTAGACTGCAATCTCTTATAAACAAAGAACACCGTACAACTTCGCTTAGAAACTAGTTCTCACCTCCAGCAAGTCTCCCTCCAGCATAAGTTCTTCGAGCTTGTGGAGCAAGCCGGGAGCGACGCGGGCGCCGGGCGAGCGCGGTGTTGCGCTATACGCGTGCTCTACTGATGCCGACGATCTATACACAAACAGGCAATAGTTTTATTAAAATCCCTTCAGTAGTATTTACGTCTTCCCCTGCCGCGGGTGTTGTTGCGGGGTCTCCACTCCAGGGTCTTTCCGGCCCAGCGATCCTGGTTCATCCGTGCAATGTGTCCTGCCCATCTCCATTTACGGCTCTCTATCTCTTCCACCACGTCGCCGATCCTTGTCTTTTCTCTGATCCACTCGTTCGTCCGCCTAAACGATGGACAGACGATATCCGGCAGCAGGCTGGAGTGAACTGGATGCGTGTGGCCAGGGACAGAAAACGATGGAGGGTTGAAGAGGAGGCCTATGTTCGAAGGCGAACCCAAAGGCTGACATAGATAGATAGTATTTACGTAAAAGCACTTAGTAGTAGGCGGGGCACATAGCTCGTAGAGACGATGGTCGTTGGGGCAGAAAAGTTCTCGAGTGGCGACCACGGGCTGGAAGACGTAGCGTGGCCAGGCCTCTGCTAGGTGGACCGACGATCTGGTAAAGGTCCCCTGAATGCAAGCGGCGCAGGACCGTTCATTGTGGAAAACCTTGGGGAAGGCCTTTGTCCAGCAGTGGACGTCATTTGGCTGAAACGAACGAATGAACGATTTATATTAGTAAAGTAACGTTTGTTTATTTACCTTGAATTTTGTGATACATCATGCGCTCTTCCTGTAGCTTTCTTTAGTTCTGCATTTAGTTTGTCCGATTTTTCTCTGTTGGTCTGTAAAGAAACAAATCAAATTAGGGACGATATCCTCAAAGTCTTCAAGCCATCAAGGTTCTAATGATGTGTACACAAGGTACAGTTCCCTGCGTCCTCCCGGCGTTAACATTAAACAATTGAAGGCCTCACGTCGTCAGCCATCTTCATCAACCAAAAACAGACCCTAACACCATATACACAAGGCCCAAAATTACCTGCGGTCGCTCAGCGTGTGCCAGAACCCAACAAACGAAGTTTTAATAGCGTTAGCTATCTATCATCAACCAAAAACAGACCCTAACACCATATACACAAGGCACACAATTACCTGAAGCCAGAGCTTGTGCTTGAAATAGACAAATGAAGTTTTCACTCAGCCAGCCTCACATCTATCACCCAAAAACAGACCCTAAAGCCATACACACAAGGCACATAATTACCTGCGAGCAATCAGAATCCATCAAACGAAGTTTTTATGGCATCAGCTATCTATCATCAACCAAAAACAGACCCTAACACCTACACAAGGCTCACAATTACCTGGGGGCCAGAACTTATGTTAGAAACAGACAAATGAAGTTCTCACTCTGCAAACCTCACATCTATCACCCAAAATAGACCCTAAAGCCATATACACAAGGCACACAATTACCTGAAGCCAGAGCTTGTGCTTGAAATAGACAAATGAAGTTCTCACTCTGCCAACCTCACATCTATCACCCAAAATAGACCCTAACACCATATACACAAGGCTCATAATTACCTGCGAGCAATCAGAACCCAACAAATGAAGTTTTTATGGCATCAGCTGTCTTTCATTACCCAAAAACAGACCCTAAAACCATACACAAAGCCCATAATTACCTGCGGGCGTTCAGCGTGAGCGGGCAAGGCAGCAAGCGCTGGGCTAGCGAGAAGCGCACGCGCAGCATCCTGCCACGCCATGGCGCGCTCCGTCACGCACTGTAACGCCTCGCCTTCTGCTAGTCGCACTGGCAGCTTTTGTAGCCACACCTGAGGAAGGAATATTACGTTAGTATTACCACAGAATAATAATAAGTACTACGTACAGAAGTTTTACTTCGCGAAGGTATTTAAAAAAATGTATGCTCAATGTCATTAACAATATGGTGTAATTTAGCCTGTCTCAAGAGTCAAGCACCATTTTGTTGACAAACGTCAGTGATCGGCACTGCGCCGAAGCTATAGGGCTGACTTCGGTAAAATGATGTGATGTGAGGTGCCAAACTGCGGAAAATGGCGGGGGAAATATAGCCTGACCAGGAACATAAAAACTAGAGATGGGCCGACTAGTCGCCGACTAGTCGGGAAAGCCGACTATTCGGCATAATTTGTAGTCGGCCGACTAGTGACGACTATTCGGCAAAATATGCCGATTATGATCGGCGCATTACAAAATTAAATATGTGAATGAAATAAAACTCATAATCGCCAAGATGATTGTGAGGTAGACCAAGGGCGTTTAACTAAACCACTTGACTGCGAAAAATCAGTAAAAAGTAGTTTCACCTGATTTAAAATTTTGACTGTCTAAATTCATACAAAGTTAAGATTAGATAAAATTACCAGGAAATCATCAAAAATGTGTAAATTTTATGTAATTGGTCCATATAATAATTATGACACTTTTCACTTTTGAAAAAATGCATGGAATTGCAACGTATCCTGCGGGGAAGTGGTAGATTATGTGGGGCTCCTCTCATCGGAAGGATGAGGAATACCCACATAAATAACCCCTGAGCTCCGTCGATCGCCTTAGTGTGAAGAACTATGGGAATCCAGACAAAGCCATCAACTATCACAATCCGTCCCGGCAATTGCCCACCTGTATGGCGAGCCCTGCCTATCCGACGGTGGTGGTAGTCCGTGCTATGCAGGCGGGGGTACCCCCACGCCCCCAGTTCGCTGACCATCACCGTGGAGGGTGGAGAGGAATCAGTGGGCCTAGGATGCGTGCCGCGATAAGCACAATTTTTCCCATACATTTTGACGTCGATAAGTAAGAATAATGTCACGGCGCGCATCCTAGCCCAGCAGGAGGCGATCATATTGTCACCTCCTCTGACCCCTTCGCCGTCGAAAATTATGGCATCTACCTTAGGTACTGTTAGGTGATTGTAATGTTGCTTTTTATTTTTTCTCATAATTTAAAGAAATCTCATTTCTCAAGAAGTTATATATTTATCTCTTTAGAAATCTAGATATTCATATTTTTGAGAAAATCTAGATATTATTCTTCGGACAAGTAGGTATTAGAATGATCGGCATTGCCGATTAGTCGGCCGACTAATCGGCAATTTGAAAACCGATTAGTCGGCTAGTCGGTTAGTCGGCAAAGACCATAGTCGGCCCATCACTAGTGATTCGAAATAAGTAATCGTATTCTTAGATAATTTCGTATATAAGGTCCTTGATACCTACGTACTTTTATATTAAAGACGTTTGAAGTTCTTAGCAAGAAAAAGGTATTAAAGATGAAATATCGCTGTTGTCTTGTTAATATCAGTTAAGGCATTAAGTTTTAATCTAAACAAAGTGTCTGGCGAGCGAAGCCGGCGGTTAATGTTAGTTAAGCGTGGATTATGACGCGGTCGTAATAAAGCAATTTATTACTGCGCTGGTAATGGCCGACGTCTTCGGGATAGTGGTGTGGACTCCTTTACTCCTAAAGTCAGGCAGTTCTAAATTTTAAAGTAGATTAATTTAGGTATTTAATTAAAATAACAAAAAACTGCATAATTACAGCTGTGAGTGTGTGTAAAAACTTAACCAGGTATAACTTGTAAGTAATTACATTAATTTGTGTTTATTGCAATCACAGTTTGAATATGAACTTCAAAAAAGCAGTCCGAGGGCAAAAATACTTTTTTTATACACAAATTCTTGGCCAAAGTTGCATGCACTGCACCTGATGGAAAGTGATGATCAGGCCGAAGGTGGAAGCGAGCTTCTCCCGGAATCCTTAACCACAGACAACTGTTTTTGGCATTCAAAAAAATATTAGAAGAAAATCTAAGCTAAAGTTTTAACTTCGTATACGAGCAGTTGAAATGATGAGTTCACTGATAATAATATGTAGAGGTCCAAAAACGTGGAAAAGACGCTACCCTCTTATTGACTCAATCTCAAAGATAGAGTATAAATAATCTTCTAGAAAAATAAATCTTCTGCAGTTATGAGAAGCGTACGGATTACTAAGACCACGCAATTTGCCGTGTTATTCGTAAAGACTTCGACAAAATCCGGGACAACATCTCATTTTTCGTTTAAGTCGAGGGTAAAAATGTCATGTCAATTAATAAAATCTACCGTAAGCCAGGCTTAGCTGGCTCCTTGTTATATCATAACTAAGACCCGGGCAATGCCAGATAGCATCATAAGGAGTGCACGCGCGAGCGGGCGTTACGCTCGCTAGCGTAATGTTTTTCAGAACGTTCGGCGTAGAGCGGTAAGTGCAATTTTTACCTGATTAATTACTATAGGTACTTGAAAATATGTGTAGATTTAACCTTGTAGAGTGCACTTTGAGCAATCAATTAAATGAAAAGGCAATTAAAGTTAATATTTGAATACCTAATACGAAGATTCTAATGTGAAAGTTTTCAAGAAAATTATCAAACATGCTTAGAACATAGACCAGTAATTATATGACGAGTCCAGTCCTTCTTTCTTTAACAAATTAATATTGAATAATAAAATTTTTGTTTACTTGAATACTAAAGACTTGCCTTTAATTATCAAAATTAGAAATCACCTTAGCCGAACACTGATTTTATTGTTATTACTGGCGAGCGCACTCGCCTCCGCTCGCCGTTGCAATAAAAATCTCGTCTTAGACAACGATATTACGCTGTATTAAGTTGCTCGAGTAAATCTTCCTCAGGCAATGGGGCTTAAGAGTTTTATTGTCTACACGGGCTGCATCTACGTAAACACGTCGAACTGGAAATGAAGCCGGTATCGATTCAATTCCGTGAGCTAACTAGGTTCTATTACATGAAACTTTTATAACATACTTTATAAATATACATTTTGGTTAGGTTAAGTACGTACGACCACACATGAATGTATCTAAACACAGTCTCATCACAATATTTAGTTGTAATAGGTGTTATTTTACAACTAAGATGATAATGGTGATGTATAGTTGTAGGTATGTACTTTCAATTGTACCTGCTTATAAAACCACTTTTACTACATATACTGACCAGATATAACTAGGTAGCTGAAAGCTAGAACCTTTTTTCTTTATATGTGGTGAAAATCAGACAAATCCGCTGTCCTATGTAATAATTTTTAAAATATTTGGAATGTCCTGAAATTAACTCTATTTTGTATTTTTGATAGTTACATCGTCGTAGAGTTACGAGTATAATAATTATGTGTGATTTAAAGAAAGATAGGTATGCTATACCTATGTTTAGATTAACATTTAAACGTAGTATTTAGTAGCGATAAGACTGTTTTCTTGCAACCACTGTCTTAATTTTTCTACATAATCTTTATCTCTCCAGGCAGGACATCTGTAATAACTGCCCGCCCATAACTCAGGGCTGATCCCCGCCCAGAACGACTACTCCCTTGGATATGTCGGTAGCCACTTCATATTAGCAGCTGCATGTGCAGATATTGACACTAAAGAGGTAGTTGACACCACTAGTCAAGTGACACATTATAAGCTATCAATATGCGACTCTATAATATTTTGCATGGCAAAGAGAACCTCTGACGCTACTAGTTTACTTAGGCTGAGTTGCTGCACCACCTAACTTTGACCGTAACTATTACAATAACCGGTGTTTTTTGTATGGAGTTTGACAAATTTTTGACGTTTGTCAAAGTTAAAGTAAGATGGTGCAACCCAGCCTTGGTAGTAAAACTTGATTAACTTCGATCGAATTTTTCAGCAAATTGAACCCATTCTGTTTTCAAGACAAGAATCATAGCTTTTTTTAAGGTATCGGTTATTAATTATTAGTGTCAGCTACGTTGTAGTGGTAAAATAATTAGGCATGAACCTTAAAACTACTACGAGAGCCGTACTTTGTAGCGTTTTTGTGGAGGTCTATAACAAGAGAGGTCCAGTGAATTGTTTAACAGTGGAGCTCTAGGTACGCTCATGATGTTAGTGATGATGAAATATCGTCTTACTTTCAGAATTTTTATTTAAGTTAATGTTATCTTAAAAGACAGTATTTCATATGCGTGATAGGTACATCAAAAATAAACATACATGTACAAATAAACTTGCCTTACAACCTAACATTTAGCACAACAATCTGAACGTACAACCTAATACCAAAAGTATCCTTGTCAGTACACGGCCGTGTTTTTTCGCTCGCTCGGCTCAGCTCGCGGTCGGTGTAATCTCAAATCTCCCGCTGCCAATTTATTTTCATTAGCGATCATCCACGGTTAATTTTATTCCCTACTTACCCCGGAAAGGATCGGGAGTCTTCGGAATACGATAATAAGGAGAGGGCTTGTAGAAATATTTGTTTTTATTTAGTCAGTCGAAATCACAATTTATTTATTAGTAGGTATTGGTAGTAAAACACATTATTCCTATGTTATTGAGAGATGCACATTGCTAGCACAGATAGCATGTGCAGTGCTTGCTATCAAAATTTTCAATTCATATACAGAGAATATACTAGCCTCTGTCCGTTGCTTCACCATCTTGGTATTCAGTTTGACACAGAAAATCTCTTTATTATCCTCTATTATCACAGATAGCTCCCAAGGCCAAACATTGCCAAACTATGCTAAATTTGTTTCAGCTACTTTAAGCCTCTTACAACGACAAACAATAATAAGAAAACATTCGTATTCGTATATATTATTAGAGATTACCTTCCTTTCCTTGAAAACATTCAGTGGTCAAGACGCTAACTTCGATCCATCCATCTCCACACTTCCGAGCCCCGGCTTCGCCTCATATCTTGAGCGCAGTATCTGTGAGTTGCTTAATTCATTTTCACGGGATAATATTATTTTTTTACTCCCCCAACTTTTTGGGGCTTATTTTTTATTCATTCGGCCTACTGATTGGGGGCCTTGCCCAGGTGTAATCAGAGTGACAGGGCGGATTGTTTGCGCTTAATCTTATTCAGATTAGGTTTTTCAATTCGAAAGAACATTGTTAAATTCGTTTTAGAAGCATAGAGCATTTAAAATTGAACAGATTTATAGAGTTCTGTTGAGTTCTGTGAGTTAATGAGATGTGTGTGATGTGGATTGTAACAAATGAGGTCAAAAACTCTAGAGCTTTCACATTTTGACACTATAGTGTCATGTCACATGTCATGACACTAGTGAATGAACTTTCTAAACTCACATGACTAAATTAGGTTGACGGCTCACGGTCCGAAGCACGGAATCATATTGCTTTTCAAACACTCAGGATGAGGCAAGCGTACAATAAATCAGATAAAGAGATAATCTACTCAAAAGAACTTTTTTAATTTATTTACGGAGATAGAAAAGGGCAAGTTATTGACTGTAATCACACCTGATGCTATGTCTGATTTTTGCGTATGAATCGGCCTACGCATACGTTTTTGAGACTACGTAAGCCTCTACATACCTACATATTAATATCGTAGACTCATATAAAGATTTCCACTCTCACTAGGACTCTAGATTGATTGGCAATCATATTGTGTTATTCTGATTCCATAGAAAAGACACAAGTGAGTGTAGGTGGATAGCTTTTCCTACATCTACGGTCCTGAGTGGGCGCGCTAAGAAACAAGAACACAACACAAATATACAAATACATTCCACCCGCACATTTTTCCACCATCTAAGGTAACAATGGAAAAACTTTCACGACAATACCGAGAAGAAACCTTCCAAGACTAAGTTACTTATACTATACAAATACCGCTATTCTTTGTGCATTACAGTATGCAGAAAGGCATTATTTATACAAGTAAATTTCANAATTAAAATAACAAAAAACTGCATAGTTACAGCTGTGAGTGTGTGTAAAAACTTAACCAGGTATAACTTGTAAGTAATTACATTAATTTGTGTTTATTGCAATCACAGTTTGAATATGAACTTTGAAATGCAGCAGCAGCAGTTGAAATGATTAGTTCACGGATAATAATATGTAGAGGTCCAAAAACGTGGAAAAGACGCTACCCTCTTATTAACTCAATCTCAAAGATAGATTATAAATAATCTTCTAGAAAAATAAATCTTCTGTAGTTATGAGAAGCGTACGGATTACTAAAGCACGCAATTTGCCGTGTTATTCGTAAAGACTTCGACAAAATCCGGGACAACATCTCATTTTTCGTTTAAGTCGAGGGTAAAAATGTCATGTCAATTAATAAAATCTACCGTAAGCCAGGCTTAGCTGGCTCCTTGTTATATCATAACTAAGACCCGGGCCATGCCAGATAGCATCTTAGGGAGTGCAAGCGCGAGCGGGCGTAACGCTCGCCAGCGTAATGTTTTGGAGAATGTTCGGCGAAGAGCGGTAAGTGCAATTTTTACTTGATTTTATTGCCATATGTGTAGATTTAATCTTGTGGAGTGCACTTTGAGCAATAAATTAAATGAAAAGGCAAGTAAAGTTAACACTGCAGTACACGCGTCCCTTTTTTTACACGAATACACGCGCGGCCTACTCTTACCAGAGTAGGCCATTGGCTTACCAGCCAATTTAAAATCACTGTAAATCAGTTTATAAGCAATTTATGAAAGAATTACTATGTAAATGATAAAAGTGTTTATTATAGTTATTTTATAATCAATTTTTTTTATATAACTATTTGGGATCAAACATTATAAACAGATTTAAAAGTTGTAAATTTTTTGGACCAAAATTGCACTTTGAGACCAATTTTAACAAAAAAAATTTACTGAATAAATATGATCAGTTTTTTATCTGTCATAGTATTCATGACTTTCTACTGCCTGGTACATCCATTTGTTACAAGTCTTTCATGATTTTTTTGTCGAGCGATTTCGGGCTTTTGACTAGACCCGCAGTTTTGACGGCCAATTTTAGAAAAGTGCGCAGACTCTAACGACCCAAGCTTTACTGGCTTACTGACAAATTTAGTATACTAGGCTTTCCTGGAATGCCAGCTCTCTGGCGCAAGTTTTCAAAAAGTTATAGCGTAAAATGTTACCCTGGTCTACTATAGTAGTCCGCGCGTGTACTCTAGTGTTAATATTTGCAAATAAAGCAAATAAAGTTAATACGAAGATTCTGATGTGAAAGTTTTTAAGAATATTATCAAACTTACCTAGAACATAGACCAGTAATTATAGGACGTGTCCATATTCTCCTTTTTTCTTTAACAAATTAATATTGAAATTGAATAATAAAACCTTTGCTTACTCGAATGCTAAATTGCCTTTTAATTATCAAAATTACAAATCATTTTAGCCGAACACTGATTTTATTGTTGTTTCTGGCGAGCGCATTCGCCTCCGCTCGCCGCTGCAATAAAAATCTCGTCTTAGACAACGATATTACGCTGTATTAAGTTGCTCGAGTAAATCTTCCTCAGGCAATGGGGCTTAAGAGTTTTATTGTCTACCCGGGCTGCATCTACGTAAACACGTCGAACTGTACGGCTAGCACGAAAAACTTTCGAGTTCAAATCGTTTGCGTATTCGAATCGCCATCAAAAGATTTAGTACCTACGAAAACTACCACAGCTTCCTTGTGAACGTGTCGTAAAGTGAACTTAGTATGAGAAATAGTTCGTTCGTTTCAGCCAAATGACGTCCACTGCAGGACAAAGGCCTCCCCCAAGGTTTTCCACAATGAACGGTCCTGCGCTGCCCGCATCCAGGCTCTTCCCGCGACCTTTTATATAAATAAATAGTTAGTTAGTTATAGTATAGAGAAATAGTTGCACGAAACTTATTTTGAGAATCAAAATTGTCACGTTATCGTTTAATTCGAAGATTGAATTCCAACTCGAAAATTTTTCGTGCTAGACGTATGAAATGAAGCCGATATCGATTCGATTCGGTGAGCTAACTAGGTTCAGTTACATAAAAT